TTGTTCAGCGACACAGTGCCTCAGATAAATGCTAGAGAAAGAGAGGTATGATAGGGAAAGCGAGTCGGTAGATGCGAGCTCGCGGCGAGTTGCGCGTGTGTTTCTCACCTCGACGTTGGTGCTGATTGTCTTCATCTCGCCGAGAGGAAAGCGGATTAAGGCGGTTAGTTAAAGAGCAGTTACCATATTGTCGGTACGACAAAGCAGCAAGCGCATGGTGGATGAAACTTGCAGGGTGAGACGTGATGGCGAACGTGAACGCGAGAAGGGGGTAACGGGCAGAGAAAAGCAGAGTCATTTTCTAGACTCCGAATTGCGGCGTTGGAACGATGGTGGGTGGAATGCGAGGAGTATGCGTTCGCCGAACTAGGTCCGTAACTGGCTTCAGCTACGAAGCTACGACCCGGACCCGGGCCGGGGTATATCGCAGTCGGCTGCAATAGCAGAAACTGTCGGGCTAAGTAACTGCCGGTACTTACAGTAAGTTCGCGCGCAATGAGACCGCCTACATAAATACACCTAATACTGGCGTCTCCTCTTCTCCGGCCTCGCAGCCTTATCCTACGTCGTGGTAAATCCTCGAGCCGGGAGCGTAGCCTTTCGACGCGATACGAGGGTAAGGTATGCGCGAGCCGTGTTGAGCTGATTTACTTTGCATTTTATTATTTTCCTTTCTCATGCCTCGTGACTTTATCCGCGATGTGTGTGTATAACTATTTTCGATTATATTATAACAGTGACGGTGCAGCGCGTATTGATGTTATTATAATTAACGGTATCACTCTTGCAAGCTATTCAGATTGTAACAATTGAATTACAAATGATACTTTAGTAGAATTTACATTGTTTCCAAGTTTTATAGAAAGCCATTATTTTCTGCATACATGATCGATTTTATTCGAACGATACATGCATTTTATTTTTAGAAATAATTATCTTTCATCACACAGAAAGTAGTACACTACATTTTCTCTAAGAGAACAATTGTTGATTTATTTCGAGTTTCGCATTAATTGCAATTGATTGCAAGATTTCCAAAGGGTAGTGAATAACACAACTCGACACAGGGACGGATCCGTAACAATTATTACAAGATAAACGTGTATTTAACAAGAAATTATTGATATTATAAAAATCTCCCGTTTGCGTATAACTTAGGACATTTTCAGGATTACGAAGAAATATTTCTTCGAATTGCTAACAGAACCTTCACGCTCCGACGATTTATTTTGTATCGGAGATAACGGGTAATGTTCCATTTGTAGAAGCGCGGAACTTGAACTACAGCTCCACGAATATTGAAGTTACCCTTTGAAGTTTATTCTGCAGTTACTCCTTTATTATAATAACGCCTGTAATAATCGACGAATATCCTTCATACTTTGGATATCTCCGCAATTTTTCCGCGTCGAATTCTTTCGGGATGCGCCGCGTTATACCGAACTGATTTTGGCTGGGATTTTTTACCCTCGCGGCACGCGTCTGGGACGCTCCCGCGTATACCGGAGAGACGCTCCCGATTCTGCGGCGGGGCAAGCGAGACCGTGACAAACAAATGCACCGCGTCAGCCCGGTGTGACACCCTTACCGTAGCTGGGACGGGGAAGCATGCGAAAAGGGCGATGAGACCGGGCGAAGGGCGGTTAAGTCGGCGGAGGTAGAGCGAGAGGGAAGCGGCCGTGGTCGAGTCGGCGGAGGACGGCTAGGACGAGGGGCAGAATGAAAAGTAGAGGATCGTGGAAACCGTGCTCAAGTAGACAAGGGACACGTCAGCCGCCATCCTTCTACTCAGCCTTTTATAGATTATTCACGTACAATGGCCGGGGGTGACGAGTGGCGCGGCGGCGGGGCCTCGATGGCGCGTTGGGTCCGCGATAGATCCCTTCTTTATCCCGGGGATGACTCTCGAGTGGCCCTCGACTCCTCTGATATACGTCATAAGATTGGTAACTCGCCGTGATACGATTCTTTTTCGTCCTTCGTGGCGAATAATTACCGTAAATTAAGATCGAAGATCGAAACGAAGATTACACGCAGTGGCGTTAATGGAACGTACTTCGAGTTAAATGAACGAACGTTACGACAAATATCTCGCGAGGCTTCCCTGTATACAAAACCTTCTATCAAATAACTTTACACAGTAATTTATATCCCGAATATAACGATGAAGCCGAGAAACATTTGTACGAGCGAGTCGAGCAGCATGAACGTCTTGTGCATAATTTTACCACGTGGTTTGTGTTAGCATTTCACACGGCCGATCCAATTAACTGATCTTCCAATGATCATTGGTAAACCTGTGAATTCTAATGAAATTCCGGTGTGATGTTCAGCGGGAAAAGGATGAATTATTCGCGCGGTCTTGCGTGCGTTGTTCATGATTTCGGTACATTGCGCGCACATCGTCATAAATGCGATGTCATGAAAGAGAGTGCGAGCGAGCGAGCGAGAGAGAGAGAGAGAGAGAGAGAGAGAGGGGGGTGGGAGGGGGAGAGAGAGAGGTTCCGGACGAACTCTTGTTTCGTTGTATGCAAATGCGAACTGCCTGTGGTGTTCTCGCTCGTGTTGTTTGGCGTTTTAATGCTGATTGGACGACTGCCGATTCAGCGGCCGTTCGTTTGCCGCGATTGTCGCTTCGGCCGTGCGTACTGCGAAAAATCTCCCGAAATTCAGCACGTATACATAGCCGTCGTAGCCGCGTGGGCAAATCGCGAGTTTGCTAATATCGGATGGCACCGTGGTTGCTGTAAATCGGGACGTATATTGTACACCGCGCCTTTCGTCTACTTTTCTGCCAATCGACAGTATTCGAAAGATATTTAATATTGGAAATATTGAAAACTTTGCAATCGCCCACAATATGGTAGCCGAAGAAAAATCGACTTCAAGCTGGGCCACGGAATCGATAGATAAAAAAATTGTCGGCAAACTGAAGTACCTTGCGTGTATTGAGCCCAGGGTGCGCGATTCAACCCTTTCGGGGAGGCTTTTCCGAAACAGAAGGTCTGGTCCTCGGGAGCCAGTCCGTCCTGAACGGGTTAACGATGTCATCGGGTGACCTAACGCTTTGTACACTTGCGGAATCAATATTGAGAATTAAGAAAATTGCGAAAGAACACGGCAGAATTTTTGCCGAAAGGACAATCTCGCGTATTCGTGCACGCGTGTCGTGTATGTTGACACAACGATATTGCAATAACCGTGGTCGCTGCGTTGCAATTTGCTGTTGTAAAATGAACGACGGGTGAAGCTAGCTTTTTTTCCAACGTTGAAACACGAGGCGTTGTATCGTGCCCTTTTCGAATATTACTGGCGCGGAATAACAATCGACTATCTTCCGATTTCGCATACGCGAATGTGTACGCGTTGCCGCCACTGTTTTTACCTCTCTCGGATACGCATCCTCCCCGTCGTCGACTTTGCTCGAAATGGTATCGCGTGCCCGAAGAAATCGATATAGGAAGAAGTCGTCGCGCTTCTATGCAGCTCGCACTCAACGCACGAGAATCGTCGAACATCGCGGACGAGGGCCGGAAAGCGGTACGGCTGAGGAGGGTGAGGGTAGAGGGCCCGGAGGGGTCGGTTCCATCAAAAATTCAATCCATACGAGCATTCGTTGTTTCGTCGGTGCGAAGGAAGCGGAAGTAGTAAGAGAGGCGTGAAACGTTTTGTAGAATTCTCGAGATGTTGCCGGCAGGTCCGGGGGGTTGCTCCTCGGGAGCGGATGAAGGAGTTGAGAGAGGGAGCAGCGGCGGAATACGTTCCCTGCGGAACGGCGAAACAGAAAAAGGGAGGCAGTCGAAGGAAAAGTGATAGAAAAGAAGGGGTTTGTCTGCGGAAGTTGGACGAGGAAAGAGAGACAGAGAAAGAGAGAAAGAGATAGAGAGCGAGCGAGCACGCGGGGAGGAATCGAGCGGGGTAGCACGGTGGCGCGTTTGGTTCTTGAAGCATGTGTGCCCCATAAATAACATGTAAATATTTTCAATAACTGCCGGGGCGGCCCCGGCATGAAAAATGCAAACCGCTTTGCGTCCGGCTCTCGGCGCGTTGCATTCCCTCGTATCGTCGTATCGCTCATCCCTTGCTCGTGGATCGGCCGGCGGCATCCACCCCCTTAGCTCACGGCGTCGAACTGTCTTTTAATATGTCCGTGTGTACACGATGTCCCGCGTGAAATTTATGACGCAACGGACTACGCCGATATTCGTTTCGCTTTAATCCCTCAGTTTTTAATGTCGCCGGCGGCTTCTACGAATTTGCATAGGTTTCTGCTAGATCAGCAATCATACCTTTGTCTAATGGTTTCGTGCAGCAAACATTATTCTCAAATATTGGATGTTACATTTTTACGAGATCTAAAAATTGTCAGTCCGTGATAATTGCAGTCCTATATGCACGATAATTTGTTCAGTATTTATTATTATTTCTATAACTAGCACGCGTTCTATAACTGGAATGTGAGATATTGATTTTGTTAGAGACAACACGAAAGGAATTAATTCATCGTTAATCTTAGCTTAACTTAATGCTGTAGCAGATACGCGATGCTGTAGTAGATTGCAATAAATCAGATCGACGCGATATACTGCGATTATTTCGAGGCTTCTTTCCTAAGTGATTTCTTCGGTGTAATTTTTAATCCGTAAAATAGAAAGAAACGACTAATCAATTATCTTTTAATGACCACTCCTAATCGGAAATAAAGGGGGCGGAAATTGCCCTATTCAGAGAATTGATGCTATTGTGTCGCGCGATTTACGAGAATGAATTAATACAGAAGTGTATTATGCTCCCGCGACCGGCTTTCTTTTTACGATCGCGCGCTTTGATGTATGCGCTACATCGAGATATGTATCTTGCAACGTGTGCCGCTCTACCGTACAACCTTTGTACGCGTTCACGATGGAAATACTATTACTATCAGCAAATGCTTGCTTAATTAATGTCCCGAGCGACGAGCACACACTCATATTAAACATCCTCCTTTCGTTTGTTTGCAGGGGCTTCGGATTCATCACATTCGCAGACCCTGCGAGCGTAGACAAAGTGCTGGCGCAGGGCAATCACGAACTGGACGGCAAGAAAGTGAGTAATCATCACATTCTACCAGATTAATTCTAACGGCGCACAATCAGGTCCCGAGTTAAAGTTTCTGACCTTTCTGTCTGTTAACTTGTTCACTGCGCGCTACCATTGAATACTATCTCTCGTATCCAAAATTTTCTAATAATTAATTCTTCCCCTCGTGTAATTTAATAACTTTATAACTTGTAAAATTACTCGATCGCGTCGGGGATCGTCAGCTTCGGTCACCAGCGTTCTGCAATTTGCCTTAACTTAAATTAGAAAGGACGACTTCTCTCGAGACTTGACGATCGCAGACATTATGCTTATCGCGAGAGGCGAAGAGTTGCCTCGCGGAAAAAGGTAGCTATATATATAGAAAAAAAGGATACAAATTGCCGTGATCAAATGTGCGTCACGTGAGCAATTAATTTTCACGTCCGATCGGAGCTACCGTCCCGAGATAATTGAAAGAGCATGCCGCGAGTCGATTGATCAAACCGATTGGTGCAGTCCATAGGTATATATTCCGGTTCGGAATGCATCTGTATCATCGATTTCGGGAGTAAAATTTTATTCGCGTTTGAAACTTCATTAATTTAGCGTCAAACGTTGTTTCGTCCCGTTCGCTACAGTGCAGGCATATCATTCGTCATCTACATGTCGCAATTGTATGAATAGCTAGTTCAATTAATAACGAAATGCCGTCTTCGTTGGATATCACGGAAAAAAAAAGTCACACAGACAAATTAATTTATCTATTTCCTGAAATGAATAAATTCATTCGATGCGCGCCCGGGCGTGACTTATTAATCTCAATTTAGATCGTTGCCAGGCTTAAAATTGAATTTTTGTTGCAATGAAGTCCGTTTCTCTCTCGGGTCAATTGAAAAGTAAACTTCTCCCCTTTCTGTTTACACCCTGACATTTCCAAGTTTTAGCTATCAACACGTAAATCAAATAGCACGCGAGACATTCCCACTTTTGCATTTATCAGTATCAAAATCTGACGTCACGTAACGAGAGCTTTCTCTGTTCTAACAAATTGCACAATTATATTCGGAAAAATCGCTATACCTATAGGTTATTGAATTCGACAGAATTAGATTTATTTAAAAATCTATGTTAAAATTACCACTTCAATTTTCTTTGGAATTATTACACGTGTATGTCCCACATACATTTTTTGAAAATGACAATCGCGTTCCCGTAAAAACTTTTAACGTCAGGCAGTTGCGTCACTAATGGAATTTTTACTTGTGAAAGATTTCATTTCAATTTACCGAAGAGGATATCGTATCTCTCTATCGATTCTCGCCTTTTTCCTAAGAGACACCTTAAACGCTCAACGGCATCGAGCGGAACGCGATGCCGACGGTGCGACGATTAATCGCGGGCCGACATAGTCGTTGGCAAACGCGCTACCCTTTCTCCCCCTCCCCCCCCTCCCCCCTCTCTCTCTCGGGCAAGACACAATGCTCCTGGAATAATATCGTAAGACGGCAAGCGCGGGTTATACGGCGAGAGAGAAATAGTTGCGGACATTAGCTGTCCACGGCGCCATAAGTAGAGCGACTCCACCGCCGGAGCGGCCGCCTAAGTGGCCCCGAATACGCTTAAGCGAGGGCAACCCCGGCTGTATCCTCGGCTCGCATAAATTTCGCGTAATTCGCTCCGGCTAATGCAAATTGCGAATGCACGGATCCGGAAGCTAACACCTTCCCGATAGCGGGAAGAGAATATCGCGCGTATAGGGCAACCGCCGGCGCATCCTATTAAGGCTTCCTCTTAAGGGATGAGATGTCCTCACCCTCTAGCACTCTATCCGCCGGTTTCCCCTCTCGCTCCACCTCTTTCTCTCGCATCCTCTCGCCGGGAGGAAAAAGGAAGGCACGTACAAGGAATGCAAACGCGCGGAAGAGCCCGTTGCTTTGATTCGCTGACAAGTATCGCCGCATTAATTAGTGCGGCCTTCGTGCCCGCCCGCGTTAACGAATGCGGGGTGCCCTTAACTCGTGCTAACACGCGAATATAAATAAAGTTAGACAAGAGCGAAATATTCCACCGGCAAGTGCAGTTGTCATATAGTTTCTGTTTGCTTTGCGTCTCACGTGTGAACTTTCCCCGACTGGAGTAGAAATGTTATCTGAAATCCGGTCGGAAGTGGATGTTTGTTACAATAGCTATAAGCGAATGTTAATGCTACATTTTGTGTTTAATCAGATTAAAGAGGAGTACTCGTTGCGTAATCTTGATCAAATTAACACGTTGAACTTTGTAAAGCACACACGAGAAACATTTTGCAGCATACAAGGAATCTCGTATCTTGTATTAAAAAAAACTTAAGTGTACGTGATTTAACGAAAGGGAGCAGAGTTTCCGTGAACGTGAGCCGAGCACTTGGGTCGCTCTGATTATATAATATCGAAAATCAGCGCGCGTGGGTTAGTTTACGCAAGAGCGATTTTGCGGGTCGATACACCAGACGTTTCTCTCCATCTGGCGTGGACAATGATTTTCGCAACATGCCGCGTAAGCACCCACTGCGGCGCAATGCTGACCGATCGGAATAGCCAGCAGATTCCGCTTAATCGGACCGAGTGCTGATTAAAAAATGCACGGGTCGAACGTGCGCGTCCTCGTTTGCGTCCCGTTTGGTCCCGACAGGCGTAGTGGAAGTAGCCAAATCGGCTGTACTCGCGCGTGTTTGTCATAATGCTGGTGCTGTATAATACGAGGTTGCGCGCGGCTGTTCCCCCATTCTCCCGCAGAAATTCAGCAGTGCAGACTCCCGACAGAACTGTAGATTAGAGTGCGAACTTAGGGGAATAGCAATTATTACAGTAAGCGGTTTTGAGTTGGAAGCGACTAAAAATCAAACGTTTCCGACGACGTAAACTTCGTGTGTGCATCTGCATAACGTTACTCGGTTCTCCAATGTACTTTGAATAAATCTTGCACACGACTAAAGGGAGGGATCTTGTTTAATTCAGGGATTTTATTATAATGCAAATTAGAAAAGAAAGAAAATTCGAAGGTTTCAAAAAGAAGGTAATTAATAAAGTTTTTGAAGAAATTGCTCTCAATAGATTAATGACTTATTTATGAGAGGGTGGTTTTTAATTGGAAGAAGAATATATTGTGAGTAAGAAATGTGCAAAGGTCACGGGAAAAAATAGCTTTGCATTAAATTGAAAACAATAAGAATTTTGTTGCGTTTATATTACAGGTTTCTCACTGCGTATTTTCCTTTTCTTGTAATATTTGTCGTGAAGATGACTACTTACTCTTCAATTGTTCCTCTAGAAATACGATTTTATGTCGAGCAATATAAATTTAAATTCTCTATTAACATCAGGATCGATGCTTTTTTGATATTGATATGAATTAATATGATAATTGCTTTGGAATCTCGTTCTCTGATATACCATAAATGTGATGAAAGTGACTTGACATGATGTGAAGGATAAAAACAGATGCGGGTGATGAGGTTTAAGAAGGAAATCGCAAGAGGAAAAGAACCTCTAAGGGTGGATGCACGCGAAATTGTGGAAGCTCTTTAGAACTCTCTGCATGGCCCGCATTCCTGGATACCTTCAGACGTCTCGACGCTTTAGAAACGTATCGTATGAGAGCACGTGGCGGACGAGTCTCTCGTCCTTTCCCTCGTCCTCTGACTTCCTTTCTTCCTTAAAGAAGAACGGGCTTTAACCCTTTTCGAAACGTACCGGTTTTATTACGGAAAGGGGCATTAAAGACACGCAGGGACGTTCATTTCTTTCTCAGCTTTTGTTCCTCCGACAATATGGCTTCTTTAATTATTACATTTGCTTTTGAAAATTTAAAATTTTTCATCATTTATGGGATACTTTTATTTTATTGTCAAATATTGGTAACATAGCTTTAAACTGAAATTCTGTCGAAATACATACGAGTTGAAGTTATTTTTGATGGAGAAAAATATTGGCAATTACATTTGATCATATTACTCTCTGTCGCCACATTTTTTATATCTTATTGACTTTAGTTAATATTTTTTTCACATGTTCTAATACAGTTAACGTTCACACAGTTTCTTAACATAAAAATGTTTCGTTCTCGTGTGTTAAATACGCAGCAGCTCAAAGATTTGCAATGCTGACTTTATCAATTTCGAGGAAATATTACATCAACTGTGAAGTAAAAGGAAAATAAAATCGGATATTTTTATCGAGGTTATCGGAGAAATAAAATCCTTGAGGGATTGTGCGTATTAAAGTGTATATGTTTCGTCGGGAATTAACCGAAACGATAAATCGATATAATGCTGAAACGCGGTTTTCCGATACTTCTGTGAATGCAGTTTTCTATACTTACGCAAATTGAAATTCTCGCAAACCCTGATTGCAATGTCGTAATGTAGTTAAACGAGTTTTTTTTTCACAAAGATAGTATTAGGAATCGATATTTTTCGTAACGACATTGCAATTATGCTTACTCATAATATCAGTCTTTATATATCCATATAAATTGCAGCATGGTAGAGCACAAAACCGATCTCTCTTTTTTCTTCTTACTTTAAAGATGTAGCATTGGAAACGGTTAAATATTGAATGTTAAGCGTTAGTATACATTTGATGGGATATTTATATAAGCAGTTTGTTTGTCATTTGTTCCGTAGATTTCATTCTCAACTTATTTAACGTAAAATATCGTTGTGTTGCATAGGATGAATTAATTTTGATAAGCACAATTGGAAAATAAATTGCTGCGTTGTATCAGAGATACGATTAATATTGATAAAGTTTACGTTTAAAATGAACTTACACCACTTCCAAACAAGCGATTCATACATATTTTAAAATGTAGACCAGCGTTTCTTCAATATTGCGTGTCTAAATGGGTTTTGCTCAAAGGTATGATAAAACTTGCTTTCCTGTTTTCCCCCCTCTCGCCCTTTCTTTTACGGTGTTTTTTTTTCCTCCTTTCGATCGATGCTTTTTAAACGCCTTGCGTACGTTTCAAGCGGTGGCTCGGAAAAC